CCCTTTCCAGCGGAGGATTACGGACGTCAGACGGAATGAGCGATCGCGCGTCGCGGTCCGCTCCAGGGGAGGATTCCCGGACCCGGGGCTATCTGCTCGAGACATCGGGGACCGCGGCGGAGTTCGCGCGGAACGCGCATTGTCCGTGCGCGTACGGCGAGCGTACGAGGGCGCGAGCACACGAGGGACCGACAAGGTAACCACTGTCCACGGTGATTTACGAAGCACGCGGACTCGTGCCAAGCGCGCGTTCTCGCCCTCGCGCGGATACAGCGCGACGATCGTATCCGGGGACGTTGGCTCGCACCGCGGCCACACCGTCCGCTATAATTCACGTCGCCTGCTGGAAACGCCGCCGGGATCTTCATCGGCGGAAGGGCCCCCGGTGGCGGGTCTCGATTGTTAGCTCTTTCGGATACCGCCGCGCCGGGACCTGCCGCGCCCGCACGCTCGGCAATCCTCGCCGAACGAGCAGGTAGAACGTGTCACGCTCGAATAGAAATATAGAGGATTGTAACTTATTTTGCTACGTGTATTTAGGGGGGAGCGAACGTTTCTCAGATGAAAATATTGATCTTTCTGCAAAGTTTAGACAACTGGGATAGTGCACACGTATTAACGTATACCGCAATTTATTGTAAGATTTCAAGACTAAGTCGAGCTCGTATCAAAGCGGATAAAACAAATGAACAAGCTGAAAATGTGAAATTCGAACGGAAATAGATCGTTGTAGACGCAGGTTTGAAAAGAAATTGTTTAAACGAAGATCTTGTTATAAAAGTGGCCGACATATAATATAAATTCGCAATTTGTGACAAAAAAAAGGACTAAATTGCGATTGTTCCGCGGCAAAGTAAACCGTTCTGAACAAAGCACGCAAAGATAAATGAGATCAACGAATAATGGATTTTTTTTCCCAAAAAGACCGGAAGAATTATTATTACCATATTTCCACGATACGTTTTGTTTCTAATATTATATTTCAACGTCAAAGAAAAATGCATGTTGCACATCTCCCTTCAAAAAGGATTAATGCGATCGTCGTACATTTTAATCACATTTCTGCCCGAAACGTAATTTTTTACCCTTTGAGATCATCAGTCCGCCCTGTCGGAGCGCATCAAAATTCAATTAATCGATCAAACGTGCGTGTGTACGCGCCCGCGGGGCTCTCGAGCGACAGATAAAATAAACGCGCCGCAGAGGAAGCCGTGGAGAGGCTTCCGGGTTAATTAGTCTGTCAATGCGGTCCGCTCGCCCCGCGCGGGACAATGCGCAGGGGAAAAAGGGAAAAAAATCGGGACGTTTGATTCGACAGCGATCGCGTCCCTTTCGAACGGCGTGATATATCGTGCTGCCTGCTACTGTCGTGCACCACGCATCTAGATATCTGCATCTTGTCCGTTGTTCGCGTTTACGTCACGCGCATGCATTCGCAAATGCCCGAGCGCGTCAAAATCCACGTGACACTGCGGAATTTTTCCAATTTTTCAGTTAGACCGAAAACGCGATATTAGCATGTCGCGATTCGCCGCAGGTTCCCGAATGGACCAAAAAAAAACCTGTCCCGCGGTATTTAAGCGCTTACTCTTTGGCGCCGACTACGTTAAATTTTTCGGAGCCCGTCGGCGTTATTTTCCGAAACAAATTCGAATGGGCGCGCAAATTTTTGTCAAATTGGAAAATTGACTTCCGTTAAAAAGTTCTGCCGTTTAGCATTGTTTCGGCATCGCGTTAGACACAAGTAACGTTTAATAGTTCATTCGCAATAGATATTTGTAATCTCTCCTTAATAATTCATCACCGATGAAAAGGAAACTAGTTAAAATGTGACCGATAAGTGTAATCGACAAGAAATCGATGTCGATATATTGCATTTAATTAGACCTGCGTCCGTTTAAATCAAGAAACTTCGCAAAGTATGTCTCGCCTCTCTTATTTCACCTGTAGATTTGTAAGACTAAGCCCCGTAAGATTTTCGCTCTATAAGCTCTGTAACTCTGTAACTTCCTAGCTCTCTCTCTTCTTTTCGTTCTTTTTCTTCTGCTCTACAGCGCTACATGGCTTATAGAAGTACTGCGTTACGGAACATTTTTACAGAATACACCCCTAAATCGCATTTTGCTTATTATTTTTGTTCGTGTTAATCTATAATTATCCGACACTTGTGTTATAAAGATTTGGATTCTGGATTTGAACCGCTTAGAGACACTCGCGCCTGAAACCACCGCTCGCGTTTCAATTTTTTCACACAAACTGGATTTCATCGCCCTACTGGATAATAAAACCGTGCGGTAGAAACCGCTATCATACGGGTATGTGGCAAACAAGATTCATTCTTTCTGCAACGCGGCGTTTCCCCAGACGTATTATTGCCGTTGCAGTGACTCCATAGAGAGCTAATCAAGCAATATAGAGCTTGTAATGTGTGCGTGTACTAGATACATTATTAATGCATTGAGGTTGAGAAGAAAAATGGAACTTCCAAGATATAACAGCGTTGTTTTAAAGAAAATTTCAGAGAATTATTTGTTAAATTGCTATTTTGACGCTAATTAATTAAGAAAAAAGGGTGTCAATAAATATTCGACGGTGAAATTGGATTGAAAATTAAAGTTGAAGCTTACCGAGACAGTAAAGAGAGACAGCGGAATTTATGATTAAAAATATATCGAGTTCTAGTACAAAGCAAGAACGTGTTCGTGTTAATATTGAGCCAAGAGCTGTCAATCGAAAGTCGTCAACTCGTATTTCGTTTACTGGATTTCATTAAATACAACGGTTAGACCGTACAAACAATTCTGCTGTATCTGCTGCACAATACGCACGCTGTAAGGTGTGCTGTAAAGTAAAACCAATACGGTCTCGGCACTCTCAGTTAATCGTACCGAGCCATCCCCGACGTCATTAAGTCAATACCCGATCCTACGGCACTGTAGGGTAGTAATTAACAACTCCTATAGTTCGGTTAAGTGCATAACCGATACACACCTAAGATATTTTAATCGCTTCTGTAAGTAATTGATATCTGATAACGTAAACAAATTTTAGCGAATTGCACGATACAATCGCGCAGGAATATCGGATTAGATAAATGTTTGGTATTGCAGAAAGAATTTAATATTATCGATTCGATTCGTTTATCTAAAATTAGTAACTTGTCTAGCAATGCCCGACATAAAAAGTTTTCGTAATTGCCACACGGAGAGAATTTTTTCCTAAAATTTATCCTGAAAATCGCGTAATCGTGGGACAACGTGATGCACCCAGAAAAAAATTTAGTTAGTTTAAACAAATGAGATACGTTGAAATAATGTTTCTTTGAATCTATTAAATTTTAATTTACTTCTACCAAAACATTTGCTACGTTTGAAAAAATAAATGTGAATTCTCTTGGAAATTCCAGTCTTAATCAAATAAAACTTTGATTAATGTAAAGAAAAAATTTTTTTGAAATTAAGTAAAAGTTAAGGTCAAAAGTCAAAGAAAATGTGTTTGACTCAAAGATACTTTTTTCTGGGTGCATTTCGAAGAATTTTATAAGTTTTTTTCAAATTTTACCATTAATTTTGCGAGTAATTATACTTGGTATATATTTCATTAGTGGAATGTATGATAAAATTTCAAAAAACTCTCACAAAATGTTGTTCAAAATGCCACGCGTCCCACTTTTATATATAATTTTCGGGGTAAATTTCGAGAGAAAATTCTTTCCCTGTAGAATACGTACGTCGGATCGACATTAGAAAATGTATCAACCACGTTGAATGCATAATTATTGCTGCGTTTTTTTAATCGGTAGCGATAAAGTCGAAATATTTAAGTACACGGAGAAAACGATTTCTTTGGATTTAATAAAGTTTGTTGTATCCAAACAAATTTGATATTTGGAATGGTCCAAACAAATCATTTGTTTGAAACTAAAGGTAGATTCGGCAGCACCGAACTTTATAGGCGTCTGGTCAAATAATATAATTATTTAATTGAAGGACTTTACTTGAAGTAATAGTGTTTTTTCTCTCAAATAATAGAGATCGTTTGAACGAAACAACTAAATTTTTATTCAAACAAATAATATTTCGTATAAGCGTACGTTGTTTCAATGAAACAAATCTCGATCAAATAAATAGGAATACCAATTCCAGAGAAACCTTTTTCTCTGCGTACGCGAGAGAAGAACTCGAGTTTCGCCGATGTGCAAGAAGAGAAAAGGAGTCGTCTAACGATACAATATGTTAGATAATGAAGCAATGGACGAAGCGATCAATGACTGATGAGAAATTAATGGCGAAATTAATATACTGCGGCGTCGAAATTCGAGAGAATGCCGGACGGGAAGTCGCTCAGGGTTCATCGAAAGTTAACCGCGGATCAGAGCCATTCCCGGCGGGCTCGCGTTCGACGTCATAAACGTGCAACATGATGATTAAGACATGTGGGCGAAGTCGTTATCCACGCTGCTGCATGCACGGAGAATCGGCGAGAGCGCGAGCGGCGCTCCCCGCCGCTCGTTCCGATACGATGCGCTTTAATGATGTTGCGAGCTCTCGGCGAGGGTGAACGAGGGGGTGACCACGGCTGTTGACCCATTTCAGACTTTGCGCGCGGCCGCAACTTCGTTGCGGCCACCGGTGTGTCGCCGTCCGATGCAGCAACTTGGCGTATTATCGCAATAAGAACTTGGTCGGCTTCTGTCGTACCCGTAATCCGTCCGTTCCGTTCGCGCATACGAACCTGCGGGGGCCCGATCGGATTTCACGACCTGTCGTCCGAGAGCGGGTGGGGCGAGACGGAGGTTTTCAAACTTTACTTCACCTTAAAATTGGAGAGAACGCAATTCTGCTCGGCCGTAAAGGCGGATTCAATTCGAAGATTCGCCCAGGGAGCCGCGAGCTTCGCGGCTAAATTGAGGGACGTATCTTCGGAAGTCGCGTTTTGGGAATTTAAATAGCTGGCGAGATTTCCTGATCGTGAAAGAAGTAAAAGATGGACTGTGAGCGTTGTGATTTCATTCGTATATTTCGACGTGTATTATGACAAATGGCGTTTATATTAATAAAAAGTGGATTCAACATGTTTCAGAGATCCCCTCTCTTTCGACGTCTGTTATCGGACAGATCTCCCTTAATGCCGCGCCTTGCTTCAAGCAAAATCAATTATCTCCAAGTCTGAGAGCTTGTCACTTGATTGCGTAACAAGCGATAATAGCCCCAGTATTGATATTCATCGCAAGTACTCCGGACTCCATAACAATGCGTTGGACGCGCAATTAATGCCCAATTAATTAAGGCATTAATTAAATTAACGATTAAATATATCAATATAACAGAGCGTACACTAACTCTGATAGAGCCGTCTGCGTTCGAATCAAGACGTGCTGTGCGTGCACGTATCTTCATTAAGTTAAAAAACAAAAATCTGTCCCATCGTTCAGAACGACACGAAAGGAACTGATTTTACAGTTGCAGAGCCAGATCTTAGAGATCTTAGGGATCAATTCTCGATTGAATCAAATAAACTACGCCCATCGTCTGCTTCTTCGTACGAAATACCGCAACGTATCTTTTCGTTGGTTTAATCCAATACGCCAATTTTCGTTCGTCATTGTGGAAATGACAAGTGAGTTTCGTATCCTCTCGCGACTTTGGGAATCGATATGTGATACAGAGCGAAAAATTTTCACAGTTCGTTCGTTCATTCAATTTCATTTCCTTCTTCGACGTCTCTTTTCGCGCTCAAGAACCGACCCTGCTCGAAAGCGCGTCTCTTGCGAAATAGGAACTTGCGAAGGAGATTGGTTCGCGGGTGCCGTCGATCGAGCGATACCTCTTCGATGAGGAGGTGCGTGGCGCTCATACGCGCAACAGCGTGTCATTGTCATTGATGTCGAGCAACGGTCGATGATTGCCGCTGACGTTGCCGGGTGCGTCACCACGATGTTCCGAATAGCGGCCGAGGTCCTGAAGAATCCTGTAGGAGGGGCGTCGTAGTAGTTGTTATCGCCTGGAGGCACGGAAGTCGGCACTAGGCTATGCGAGGGTGACAACCCCCTCCGGTTCCGGCGACCAGCAATTGTCGGATAGCCAGCAACCGATCACCACGGTGAAGAAGCCGATCAGGAGAGCCACGATGATGTAGATCTCCGCCTGTCCTAGCGAATCTATCGGCACACAGGGCACACGTACTCGTGAAACGCGCTCGACGTAGTATGAAACGTGCGTGCAGTCAAGGAGATAATTAAGCGTCTCTGCTTAACGGTCGCTAGGCCGAAAGGTCGCATGCATTGTGGCAGCATCGCCGGTGCACACGTCGCTTAGGTGCTAATGCATGCTTGTTGCTTCAACCCCTTCAGGTATAATTTGTTATCCCGAGTGCGCGTATACGGTACAATTGAATTAATTGCGTCAGACGTTACACACCGCACGGGGAGATGGAGTTTGCGAAATCAAAGCAGAATCAAATACGCGGTAATGCAGTTACACGGAAGAAATCGCACCTCGTAAATAGAAGTAACAGCCACTCGGACACAACTGCGGATGTATTTTCGCTTATTTTAATGGGCCCAGGAGAAATGCGAGCAAGTTAGTTATTTCAGCCCGTAATCTCCAACTGTAGTAATTCTATGTAGTATATCGACTGGTAACATTTAGGTATTTCAATTAACCGGCTGTTTGACTAATCGATTGTTTGGCCGGCGGATTGTAAATTTCGTTGATTACACAATAAAAACGGATTTCCAACATTAATCATATTTTAACGTAAATATATGTACTGTAATTTATGCAAGCATAAAATACGCTTGCAAAATGTTATTATTATATAATGTATTATAATGTAGAAAGAAGAAGAGATTGATTTAATACAAAATTATATTACTCTCATTTTAATACTTTTCATGCGTTGTAATTTTACATTTCCATAATAACGTTATAGGATTAATTTGAAACTTCTATTCAATCAGCGACCAAGGAAAAATACAAGGCCATGCAGCTTAACAAGCGTTTGACGTAAAAGCTACTTATTTTCATCACAGTGGGACATTTAGAAAACCTAATATAAACTCGCTACAAGCAGATGGCAATGAAGAATAAATATTGCACTTTTCCTTTAAAAAAATCAAGCAACTTTAGGCGTCAAGGAACTTTGCGGACAATTCGAAATTTCCAAAGCGAAGAAGACTTCGCGGCCAGGGTCGTATTCGAAAGTTAATACAAGTGTTTGACATAAAAATTACTTATTTTTATCAAACACAGTGGGACATTTAGAAAACGTAATAGAAATTTGCTACAAGCGGATAGCAATAAAGAATAAATATTACATTTTTCCTTTAAAAAATCAAGCAAAAAAAATCAACTTTAGGCGTCGAGAAGGAACTTTGCGGCTCGGTAGAGTCCTAATCTGCGATGACAATTCGAAATTTCCAACGCGAAGGGGACCCTTCGCGGCCAGGGTCGTATTTGAAAGTTAAAACGCAGGCTTGAGCCAACGCGGAGAGCACGAGAAAAACGAGGCCGGTGCGTTTGTTCGTTTCATGAATTTTTCACAGCCGCCGTCATTATTATCCCCATATACCGGTCCCGGGCTTACATCGGGAGCTAGTGAATGACTGCTGCCGGCAGCGGTGGGAAAACAAAGCGCATTGCCGTCACGTGTTACGTTCGCTCGCGGTAAAATGACGATAGGAAACTTTTCGGTAAAATTCAAACGCGTCGCGTATTAACCGGGCCTGTAATCCGATTTGCCAAATGACTCTACTTTCCCGAGCCTCCGTTGTGATAACTTGATTGAACTCGTGCGGCACGGCGATATGATTCAACTCCGAACGGTGGGTGGAACGTATTATCTGCAGCGCGTAAGTCTAAATTTGTTAAGTTCCACTTCAAGAGTAAGAAGATTGCGACGCGCGCGGACGTGACTCCGTTTGAGACCCCGGTAATTTTACCGGCATTTACGAAAAACGTCTTACGTAGCATTCAAGCGTGTACGTAACCGCGGGCGGACAAACTATCTTCCGTAAGATTGCAGCGCCGCAAGTCGTGCCTTATGGCTCCGGCCATCGTGATATGAGATTTCGTGGCAGATGCTGTTACGCCGAGATAGCGAACCCAAAAAAAAAATCAAAAAAAACTTTCCCCAACAAATTACGGCCACGAACACCGAATTGATGCGCCAGAAGTCGACGAGCATATGATATAAATTGCGTCCGCGTTATGTCGCCGTCATGCGCGCGAGTACAATTTACGACGGCGTGGATTTGCGCATGCGAAATATTTACAGGTGTGAATTATTTGAGACTAATGGCATTCATAGGCTCGCGAGTATTTATGGCTCTCGATAATGTTTAAAAATTAATCGTGGAGCGAAAGGAGCGCAAAGCTACCTGCTAGACTTCAGACACATTCATGCAAGGTTTTATTTATAGCGGACAAAAATAGCACGATTCTAAATCAAGACTATTATACCGTATATCCATATAAAACGGTCACATGAGATGTATACCATAGTGCGGGAATACCTTTAGCAACAGGCTCTACAAATTTCTATGGGAAATCTCTAGAAGTGGAAACAAATGTAACAGGAAGATGAAGGCTTAAACATCGTCGCAATTTCTGAATGAAGAGCCTGCTACTCTCTAAAAGTCAATCGGTGGATTATCACTGAAAACAATGAATGGTCACTGCAGTTTTCAGTAGCATACTTACAACTGCGAGTCAGTGACTATTCACTGTTTTCGGTGATAATTCACCGATTGACTTTCAGAGAGCACAGTCGCGCTACTTGCACCAACGACTTCGAAATCTCCTCGGCAAATTCTCATCTGAGGTTCCATCATGCTACAGCTACCAAGCACAATCGTACTCTCCAAAAATCAATCAGTGGACTACCACTGGGAACAGTCACTGGTTTGCAGTTACAAGTACACCACTGAAAATAGACTATTCGCTGTTTTCAGGGATAATTCACTTTGACTTTTAGAGAGTATACAGAGCGTAACGATGCAGATCAGAAAGAAGCGGGGAAGAATGGCGTAAAATTACCTAGAGGACCCTTTGACTTCCACAGGCCCTTGATGAGGGTAGGATCGCCGCGACGCCAATCGCGCCAGCCTCGACCACGGCGAGCAGGCCCTTTGTTGGACCAGATCCCGGAAGCAGCGGCACCGCCGCCGGCTCCACCGCCGGTTGACCCGCTGCCGATGGACCCACCGGTAACACCGAGACCGAAAGAGGCAGCCCCGGCAGCGCCGGTAGAGAAGCCGGTAGCTCCTCCACCGCTGCTACCGCCGCCGCTTCCGGTAGCACCACCGGTAGAACCACTGCCGCCGGGGCCCGGGGTGCTCGGCAACGAACCAGCCTGCGGTTGACCGTGGCTCCCAGCACCCTGTGGCATCGGCGCTCCCGCCGCTTTTTCGTCCCAGCCCGGATGTTCCCCAGGTAGAGCAGCGTGAAATGGACAGAGCAGGGCGTGCGCGCCGTTAAACTATCGCTTCGCGTTCGATCGATCAATGGGGGTTTCACGGTGGACCGTGCACTCCTCCTCCGATTCATCCACCTTTGCTTATCTAACGAAACTCGCTCGGGATCGTTGCAGCGGCTATAATCGTTACTTCAAAGAAGTGACGCCGAGGACGGTCGACTTTATTCTCACTTGTCGGCTTAGACTCCACGGGAGAATGCAAATTGCGGAAGCGAGCGAAAGAAATTGTTGGGTTTCTGTGCAATAAGTCGCCGACTTTGATTTGTTATCTTTCAAATGATATGTATATTAATTTTTAGCAGCTTTACTTTACGGTCTAAAGAAAAAATATCTCATTCAAGAAACCGATCTATCTAGCCGGCGCTGTTCAATGTGCGCAAACATACATATAGGATAAGTCTCATTAGAATTCTGAGAGAATCGATCTTAGCGTTAGATATGCGAAGGAGCGGTGTAATGGAGCAGAAGGTATCCATGCGGAGGATTTTTCAGGTAGGTGAATATATATGCAGAGAGATCAGAGGGTCGCATAAACTGCCTCGCGCTAAATTTGCCGATAGGTTCCCACCAATGTCTCATCAATTATTCCCGCATTAATTGGCGATCACGGATAATCGTAATCGATAGAAGGCAGGGGACAATATTCGATAACAACGAGTCGGAATGTAAAAGTGATATTTTTCCTCCCTCTATACCGGTGAGACACCTAACTCACAACTAATGCATATACTTAAAGGTCGAGAGGATTTCAATCCGCCGGGTCGAGGGTTGACATTGATGTAAATGGATTGACGGCCGATTTACGGGGATGAATGATGAATCGCGTTTCCGGCACCACTCATTGTCAGTGCGGACAGACGATGACGATTATAGCAACGATTGTAAAGAGATGGGGATAAATCGAAGTTCTATAATTACAAGTATAATTCTGCTGAACGCGCCAAATTGTTATAATTGCGCAGTTATTAATTACGCAGGCTCTAATTGCACAATTAACATAACGTACTTATTAAACGATAATTATATTCGTCATTATCTTTGAGTAATATCGCGATTAAATTCTGAATTAAATGAATTTGTAAAGGGACAATTCTTCGTTCCCCCTTCCCGTATTTACTTTTTCATAGTTGAGCGAGCGCGATGTATTTGCCGTCGAAGAAAAGGGACGGTGTCAGCAATCTCTCTCCAATAAAATATAAATTCGACAAATAACAGAATATCACAGATAAATGAGAAAAAATGATTTTTATTCTGTATATCGCGTTTCATACACGTTTTCTCGTGTATCCAAGTATTTGCAAATAAATATCAGTTGCAATTAAAATTGTAAAAATATCAGAATCTGTTTTGCTACGCTAACATTAATTTCCCGGAATAACCGAAAATGAAGTAAACAATCGGGGTTTGCTAGAACAGAAAAAAAAACTATGAATACCAATTTTGTCTGCTCAATAATTCTATTCTCTTGAATACGAGAGTATTAAGGTTCGCTAGCTGCAAAACCTGTTGCGTTATTTTTTTTTGCAAAACGTGTTTACTGAACCGCGTCTTTTCGATGTAAAACTGAGGAGAGATATTCAGACTTGCCTTTGTGAATAATCAGAAGTTCTTGACAGAATTCTTAAGCACGAGCGTAGAATAAAAATATTTTTCTTATTTGTCGTATGTCATTTATCGATATGCATTGCATTTTTTATATATTACGTTCCGACATTATATTATTTCACAGCCATAATTTCAGATAACATAGAATTTACACGTAAGAGTTATTTTCAGCTAAAACAAACATATAATGGTATATAATGGGACCTTTTTAAATTCAAAAGAATGTGCAAAATATAGGAAACATAAATTGCACAAAAATCGTTTAATTCACTTTTCAGAGGGTACGAATACGAGCATTAGAATAAGTGCGATATTTCGCAATTGCATTTAATGTTCCACTCACTGCGAACAGCTATCGGGCAACGATCGCGGTCACGATAATACAAGGAAGGGTTAAAGATTCCAATTAACGACGCGCTAATAATATTATCGTCAAACGTGGTTGAATTTGTGACAAATGTAACTTTTAACACCACTTTAACATCACTTCGTAGCTACTTAAATACGCTCATCATTATTCCGAGTCTGCTTGGCCTATTTCTCAAAAGATTTAAGTACACATTTATATTGGTATTTTACGCGCGACGCGACGGTTTAATTATAACGTGAATTTAAACTGAAACGTGAATTAACGATTATCAAGTGCCACTTTCGACGCATGCATTCGTGCCAAGAGTGTTAAGAGGACCTCCCCTTTCCTTTGAAAGAAGAAAAACGTAAGGAAAACGTAAAGTAAAAAAATTAATTTACCGTCAGGTTTGCGAAAAATGTGATTGACGGTTTCGCAGCACCCTTAATGCAGAATCGTGTTAGCGGCAAATGGAAGAATGCAAATTTTATGAAGGGAATATTTCTTTCTTTTTTTGCTATTCTATACGTCGGTAATATTGAGTAATCTGCATATGCAGATTAAAATTTGGATCGTCGCGGCGCGAGGAGTAACACGAAAGGTCTAACCACGAATAGAAAATCGATCAATTTAAACGAAGTATAATTTAGGATCAACGAGCGGCAATCTGTATCGAGATTGGGCGAGTTATTAAATCCGCACGGCGACCAAGCTTTGCTTTAACCAATCATCACGGAAATTGCTTTTTCCCCATACAAAACACACGGTTTTGTTCTTGGTGCCGCTTGAATTTTTGATTGCATAACTTCACAAATTACGAACAACAGGTCGGACTTCAATGCCTTGTGATTTCGGGAATTAGCACGCGTGACGAATCACGGCTCACTGAATCAATTATCAAATGCGAAACTGTACATTAATGCGCGTAAAATCCGCGAGTATTTGCGCACAGTTTCAAACTTTATTTTAGCACAAATTAATTTGGAAATTTAACGCAACTACTAAACAGCTTTTTCTCGCAAATTGTGCAGAGTACAAAAATATCGTAACGATATCTTTATGTTCCGTCAAGACACTCGCAGACATCTGTAAAATTTTGCCAATATACACGTTCTTCTATTCGAAAGACTGACTCGGAAAATCGTACTTTTAATACTTACCGCATAAGGAGAGTAACAAAATACTGGCAAGGAAGAACCACCCCATACTTCATCAACAGGTCGTTCCGTGAAAAATCCTGCTACATCGTTGAACTTCGCGCGAACCCCGAAACCGTCAGTGGCTGGTGCTGCACGTGGGAACGCAGGTCCCTTAAGAAGAAAAAACCAATTTCCCATTTAAAAAAAAACATACACGAGGCAAGACAGAAGGAAATTTCGTCGGTCCTACAGAATACTTTCATTCTAGATTTCTTTTCCACCGAGTAAGCTCAAAGTTCAAAAGCGGCGAGAATTGAACGGAGAATACCGAGCGCTTGTTCGATCAGCGTGGAAATGGCTGTTGCGACCGCGTCTACACGCGGAGCTTTTCCACAAGGCGGCTGCGGATGCCTGCATGGTTAACTACCCTACGGAAGGTCGAAAATTGCCTGTATCGGCGGATTGCACATCGCGGAGGTGTACGAATAATTGAAACGACCCAGCGTCGGGAGCGGCACCGGCGCCGCGAAAACGCACAAGATCCGCCCGTCCTATATAATCGCCGGCGAATAATGTATAAATTCGCTTTCGAGGGCGAGTCGCGTAGCGCTCTCGACATTTCCGTAAACCAGTAAATGGCTTATGCATGAACGCGTCAGTATGAATCCTGGGCTGGCTGCGGGCAAGATTATATTCCTATCCGCGAAACATCCTGCTCCCTCCCCCCCATTGTAAAACTGCCGCGCGAAACCATATCGCTGGTTCGTGCCGCGGCTCAATATTATCGAGCCGAGCCGCTCACGTGTATTATTGCAGCCGCTAATTTCGCGATACGTCATCCGTTTGACTGTTCGCTGGAAAATCCCCCTTCGGTCTCCCCGCCGTTTCTTAATTAGTCCATCCAAGTCCGCTTTAATTGAAATGACTTTTCGACTGTGGCGATAATTATTACTGCGCAGCTTTTGTCGTGACATTTTTTTCGCATGGCACGCGGGTATTTTACTGTCTAAAAGTCAATCGGTGGATTATCGTTGACACCAGCGAATAGCCACCGATTCGCAGTTAAAGTGTGCACTGAGAAAAATGATTGCATCAATAAAGCACGTATGATAGAACGTATTTGTTAAGCCAAACAGAATTTCTAGTTAGCACGATAGCGCTTGATATTTCATGACCAGAAGTTTGATAGACTTCGCTACACTGGTAAATGCTACAGGAATTCTGATTCGTCCGTTCTCTAACAGACGACTGGCTGGATCTACCGGATTTCTAATTAATGCAACTAGATTTTTTTTCAGTGTACCGCAGTGGTATACTTATACACTGAAATAAAAATCTGATAGATTCAACCAGTCGTCTGTTAGAAAATGGACGAATCAGAATTCCTTTAGGATTTACCATGAAAGATATTTCATAACCAGAAGTTTGCTAGACTTCACTAACAAATCTGGTAAATCCTAAAGGGATTCTGATTCGTCCATTTTCTAACAGACGACTGGTTGAATCTATCAGATTTTTTTGGAGTCTAGAGAAAGGTCCCCTATTACGGGAGCTATTAGGCTCCTGATATGAGATAGCGGAGCTTCCGCTAAATTAACAGGCGTCGTCTGTTGGTTCCACCATGAATCTATTGTCCTTGGAGTGAAATCTGTCTAGCGGAAAATTTATTGTTAGATCGTGCGGATCGATAGAATCGTTGCGAAAAAAGATTTGTCATTGAGTTTGGACGTTGAAAATCTGCTATCTCGTATTAGATTCCTATCTTATAATAGAGGACTGTCCTCTGACTTTAAATCAATGACCATTCACTGTTTTCAGTGATAATCCACTGATTGATTTTTGGAGAGTGCGGTCGAGATATATCAATCGCCGTCAAATCTCAAGGAATCGCAGGCTGCGATTGATTAATTTGTCCATACAATAATAGCAGCGATAAATTGTATCGGGAGAAAAGATATATGCGTACAAATTTGAGACGCGTGTGATAAATTATACAATGAATTATTTATCGATTGATAAATACGGTAATTAATGCGGCATTTGAGTTCATTTATTCCACTCTGTATTAATTTCGTGCATGCAAATTGTAAGAGGCTATTATTAGCAATAGCTAATAGAATTCTACGTGACAATTTATTAAACAATTCGATGAATTATGTTATCGGCCGAGTACACGTGTACCGCCAATAATCGCCATTGAACGTGGATACGCCTCGACGATTATGAGCCCCGATACGAATATCGAATAATATGCAGTTAGTTATCCATTATTATAAGCTTGTTCTTCATCGCGCTCTTATTGCAAGAACAAGAGAGACGTTCCTAATTCATGTGCTAACCGGGGTCCTCAATTATATTAAGGCAATTTAGGGAAGAAACGGCTTAATTGCGAGAAATCGTGTTCCCCGAAAATTTAATTTACAATTCATTTTCAAGATTAAGTTGTAGCGCGGCAGAGCAATTTGTGGTAGCCGGACTCGTTCTAGAAATACGCTTCGTGCGTCTTGCGCGCGCGCGCGCGCACGCGATTGTCGTACGACAGATTGTTCAAGCGCGTCGATATCGGCTGCCAGAATAGAAAAGTTCTTGAGCCTCTCCAGAAATTATCTATTCTGCAGCCAATCGACTTGAACGATTTGTCGTACGACAAACGTGATACCAGCCTTAGGCTGATAGAGAACAATCCGTAAACGCTTAAGACTGTCTCAGTCGTAGACGTAGGGCGAAGCAGAGAGAGACGTAAGTCGTGAAAGGCTATTGTATACGACTTACGTCTCTCTCTGCCTTGCCCTACGTCTACGACTAAGCCAGTCTTGAGCGTTTACGGATCGTTCTCTGCCACCAGCTTTATTCTGCAATGGACGCAAGACGCAAAACGCCAAGCCGCGACGCAAGAAATCGGCCCGTGGCAGTCGATCCATTCGTCTCGTATTCGACTGTGATCGGTCGATTTCGCGCGTTGTTGCGCGGCTTAGCGTCTTGCGTCCATTGTCGAGTAAGCTGAAAAGTCGCCGGCGTTCCGCGCGGAAAGACGCTATTCCGGCTTCGAGGCGCCGAGTCGTCGTCGGATGGCCACCGCGGCGGTCTCGAGAATTCAACGGAGATTACCCAAATGACGCTCGGTCGAGCACGGCGCGATCGGGGCCGCCGCCCATTGTCCGCCGGATCCGAGACGCTCGAGATCCCGCGGTACTCCAGGCTCCGGTCCTACGCGAGGTCTCCGTAAAAACGCCGTCGCGCACCGGACATCCTGCGCCGCGGAGAACATCGCGCGTAGATCGCGGCCGCGCGCGGGTTCGGACGCGCGCCGCCAGGCGCGCCACCTAACGACACTGGCGCACTCTACGGGCGGTGCCCCAGTTTTATCGCAGCGCGAGAAGAAAGAAAAAAAACTGCGCACACGCAATTACGAATCGCCTCCCGTCCGCGCGCTCGCGGAGGACTTTTCCCGCCCGATCTCGGGCGCGCGATTTCACCGCGGCTCTGGACGCGAGATAATTGGACGCGCGAAAAGTGCGCGCAGCTGCCGCGCGCGGCCGCCGCGGCGAGCACCTATCGAAAATCGATCTCGATCGAACGCCGCGCGAGATGTCACTTCGAGTTGGCGCGCGCTCAATCGATGGCGGCGCCGCCGTTCCCGCGCGTCGCCGGAGTCCGCCTGGTCGGCTCGAAACGGGAGTCGCGTTCACGAGGACGATGCACCTGCCAGCCTCCGTCAATTTCGCCGACGTCCGTGCGCCAGCGAGGAAAGTGTGATCCGCGCGAGTTCGAGGCGACGACGGTGATTTTCTACGCGCGCGCGATTGAAGATGAGCAGGACAACGACACTCCAGCCGGTCGACATCGATCGGCTCCTGGAGGCGATCCACAGCCTCCAGAGATCCCTGGTCTGCGCGATCTGGTGAGTCCGCGCGCGACGGCGTCGCGACGTCGCCGGCGAGTCGCCCCCCCGAGCGGACCGGCGTACCGCGCGATCGACTCGCGCTCGATGACTGCGACGGGTATAGGTTAGGATTCGAGCGGTGCAACAAGTGTCCGGCGCGACTCGCGGCAATCATGAATCGAGGCGGCTTGACGGCTCCCGCTGATTCTGCACGAGGGGACGTTACAATTGGACCCCCGCGCGCGAGCTCGAGTGATTTTCTATCGTCCGGGCGAGGCAGCGAGACGAGGGGGAGAACCGCCGAGGGCATTGTGGTGTACACATTTGCGGCGTTGCTGGGCGTTACTGGGCCTTTTCTGGGCATTGTAAAAATAAACTAAGATAACAAGATAAAGTAGTGCCCGCTGGGCATTAGTGGGCGTTGGTGCACAAGATTTCAGTCAGCGGTTACCCCCTTGCAGAGAAAAGTACACGAAGCCCAGTTGATATTTAAATGACACGTCCGTTGCGTTAAGTCACTCGTGCGAATCGAGAGACTTTATCATTGAACCCTTGGGGACAGCACGCTCATGTACTTCCACTTTGTTTCAGCCTGGAGCTCATAACGGAGCCTACCAAGACACGGTGCGGCCATTCATTCTGCAAGGCCTGTATATTAAAATTACTGAAGAACCACTGCCCGCTGTGCAAGGAGAGCGTCAACAGACGCACCATTTCCAAGGACGATCACCTGCAGACCTGCATCGAGAGGTTCAACGCGCTCGTCGCTGCCGTCCAGAACGACAGTCACTTGGACGACAGTGAGTCCTTTTCCGAGTCGACCGAGTTTTCAATTCGTTGTTTGATAACAAGCGGGTACGAAATCCGTCTCTGGATCGCGTTAATCACAATTAGAGAATTCGAAAAGGAAAAGCAGAGAGAGAGAGAAGAGTAGAGGATACGATTCCTCTGGGAAGCGGCCGCTGCGCCAGCGGAACGCCGCGGTATCGAGAATCATTACACTGCCCCCGCTGGATAATAATCGTAATTTCCGCGCTAACTATTGATCCGATATTGTGTTATTCAACCGGGAACGGAAGTTAAAAGCACGGCGCCGCGGCGGACGCCCCCGCCGTAAAAGTACATTAAGTGAGGTCGGCGCTACGTTCCTGGGCGCGCGCGCCGGAGGCCTGAAAAATTTAATTCTCGATACTCCTGGGCGCCTCGATTCGCGCTATACGTTTTAGAGAAAGCTCAATGTTTTATGAGGCCCTGGAGTTCGGGTATCACGTACCTCCCTCACGTTATCCGGCTCCCTCGTGTTCAACACTCCAAATGTCCCTACTATAGATTTTTCCCCTTTGACCGTGTTTTTCGTTACTCGCTTTAACGCCACTCACTACGCGCGACACGCTGGTCGCACTTGGTCGGTTCGCGACGGTTCCCTCTGAAATGGCCCTTTCCGAGGGCGAAAGATTGTGAGCCGAGCCATGTGGAAACCGAATTTGTCTTTAACGGCGAAAACTGGGCTTTAAAAGTCAACGTTACACCCGTTGGTTTGTTAATTTTGTTAACGAGAGTCTGTAGTTAATTAATCGGTTTTTTCTTTTTATTGCAAAACGTAGTGTTGAATTGTAATTATTGTAAAATGCAATGTAAAATATTTGCACGAGAATGGATAGAGCCAGGCGCACGTTATGATTTTGCATATACCTTTTACGCTTTGATTATAAAGTGTATAATGTACACGTTAAAAATATTATATAAAATATAACGTAAACGTTTAAAATTACAATTATCATGTTTTGTGGACATCGCTTATCGCGGAATAGTAATAATAATTCCTGTTCAGCCGCGTAACAATTTTATCGGTGCGCTAGGCGTCGATACGTTGTAATACATTGTGATATTGTTATCGAGATCACTTAATCGCGGTTTCCCGCGCGAAAATTGGACAAGATAAGATGTATTAAGATTATTTTTACAGTTTTGACTGTAATTTTCAGAATTGTACTCGCCCGCATAGATTAGCACGCTCGGTATTCTAGAAATAGGACAATTAGAAGATGAAATAGAATCAGTGACACTATTTTCAATGATATGTAATTGTTTTCTGAATGGCAATGAGGCTAACGCGATTGTATCCGAGTTGATCTGCCTTTTCATAACGTTAGATGTTAGGAACGTACCACTTTAGCAATATCGGCAAATAAAGCGAGACGGTTTCGTCGATATCCGCGATAAAGCTCCGATAATATCCGTGTTACAGTACTATCGCTCTCGCATCAGCCGCGCGATACGAAGGAGAGCTGCTGTTATCCGGACGCTAGACAATCCAACTCCGACAAAGAAAGGTCGTCGAGGAATGAGACGCCTACTCGCCAATTGAATCAAAACGCGGGCGGACAAATCAACAGGCCGTCGACAAGTCGCGAAACAACGATTGATTGTTCTAATCGTCCGCGATGCGACTTCAACGCGCCAAACGAGAAGTCTGAACCTATATCGCCCTCCCCCCTCGTATCCCACGGCGATGAAAATGACAATGCGATTCACAGCCTGCCGGATATTAAAGTTCGCACGTGGATACACTCGATGCCCCCCGATATACTGACCGCCGATGATTGGATCGCGGGGGACGAAAAACCGATCGAAGACAAAGCTAAGTCGGCGAAACCAATATCCGACGACAATGGTAAATCAGACGAGACCGGCGAAGTACGTCACGGCAAGATCGACGCGAGCCGCAGAGCGAGCAGAGGTAGAAAACGTGGTACGGTTTGCCCAAAGCGTATCGACGCGGACGACGCGTTGTCCCAGGTGGATAAAGGGGCGAGGCAGATTGGCGAAGTAATAGAGATCGATTCCGCTGCTAGTGGATTGAAATACAAGGCGTGTCACGCCAGAGTACGCGCGAAGGAGAGCCACAGGATTGCTGCGGGGTCCAAGTCGGTCAATCAAAGTAAGTCGTCGTCACCGACGGCGGCGAGCGATCGGGTCGCGACGTCCGCGCCTCCGAGACCGAGCACATCCGCGATCGCCAAGCAATCCAACTGGTCCGGCATGATGGAGTTCAAGAAGGAGATGAAACGGACGAGAAAGGGGAAGATGAAGAGACTGAACGTGAGCACCAAGAAAAATAGGGATCAGCCTCGGATAGTCGAGAACGTTAAGCTCTCGCCGAGCAGCAAATTCGACTTGTCTGGCGTATCGACGACTTCTAACAAAAGCGGAAAAGCGACCAACGTATCTGACCGGTTAGAGTCGAGCGATCGGAAACGGGATGCGAGTGATGGGAGTCTGGACTTATCAGAAGTGACATCGTTGAACAAGACCAGTCGTCAGACGGAATCGCATAACGAGAGTAAGAACGATAATCAGAATGCATCGTTCATCACGCTGGAGGAAGGTAGGAAGTTACGCATATTAAATCTGAACGCCAATCAAGTGGGCAAAATTATCGGCCTCGAAAGTGCCGCGGAAGATACTCAACGTTCACCGAATCGACGTTGCGAGGAGAATGTCGCTGATTGCCGTGATTCACCGCGAAAAAGATCAGGCGTACCGACGCCGGAGAAACGCGAGGAACATGTACACGAAATAATCCGTGTACAGGTTCCTCGGTTTTCTCCGGCGTTGGTCTCGCAAACTTCTACCGGCAACTTTAGAAGTTCGTCCCGCTTGCCGGCCGAAAAACAGACTCCCGGACCTCGAGAGACCCGTGACGTTCAAGGGAAATCGAGTGGGGCTGCTTCTTCTCAATTTTCGACGCCGAACAAGGGTAGATTATCCTTGAGAAGAAAGCCGGAGATCGACGGTAACAGGGGCGTTGCTTCGCCACTATCGAGTCAACTTCCGCTGTCGTACAGAATATTGATTGACAAACGCAACGAAGATGTTAGCGGTCGCAAGAGCGTCGATTCGTCAGTACACGTGGACGGTGTGCCGTTTGATCGACTGAAAGTTGTGAGACGTGACCTGAACTTCCAGGCAATTCGCGAAGATCAACAGCGGAGCAACCAGAACACGGTGTCCGCACGCTCCGGCACAGTCGAAGCTGGAGATGGAAACGTTTCCGGAATTGTTCGTCAGGACGGAAAGCTCGGTCGCGATTCTGCGGCGCCGAGGAGGCCCGTCCCAACGGGATCGAGGGGTCTCGAGAATCAGGGGCATCAGTCTCTCGTGAAATTTATGCAACTGGGCGCGTTAATTAGGCAACGTAATATCAGATATTTTTACCTGGGCACGACTAAACGCGGGTGTTCGTTGCCAGCGGAATGTCGAACTACTCCGATTTGCAATATGCAGCAATCGGTCAGCGCACACGAGGCAGCAACGTCTCTTAATCCGTGGACCGATTCGCTAAACTTGAGGGGCATTACCGTGGTGGAGAATACTGGTTTCGCGAATAACTCGAGTTCGCACCAAGCGGCTTCAAAGGAATTCCCCGCGTTACCATCGATTTGCGAAGCTCCCGCGACCTCGACGCCGAAAAGAGATTTAAATCGATACAAGAGCGCGACACTCGTCCGCTCTTCGAGCGCAAATCACCAGTCGGATAAGTCAATCGCTGAAGGATCTCGATCTCTTCGTGAAATGTCTCGTGCGGATAAGAGCGCCATTCACGGGACAATAATCTCGCACACTTATCCAGGAACGTCAAATTCTATTAAACTGCTGTCACCGGACAAAGATTCGCAGCTGAAGTTCCTGGAGATAGACTCCCCGAGCGAGCGCGAGAAGGCGAGACGCGCGAGCTCGATTAAGTCCGCTATCAAAGGAAACAACTTTTCCGAGATGGAAAGCTCGCGCCTCGCAGCGTCGGCGCAGGAACCTTTCACCGAGGGCTCGTGCAAGAAGAAGAAAAGAATGAGATGCGCCAGTGACAGAAAGCTATTTCAGGACGGGCCTGACGACGGATGGTCCCGTGATTCCCGCCACTCGGCCAGCGACGGCAATCGAACCGCGGTGAAATTTGACAAATACAGCAAATTATCCGAGGAGGCGAGCTCGGGTCGTTTGGCCGCGAATAAAAAACGTCGCTTGAGTTCCCCGGACAACCAAGATGTCGCAATCCCGTCGGTTTCTAAAGAACAGGACGCGCCTGGGACAAAATTCACGATGTCTGACTCGGACATGGAATCGAGATCGGCGACACGTGTTGACACGAAAACTTTAAAGAGGTATTGATGAAAGTTTATATTTTATTATATGTGATTCCTTATATGTAAAACTCTATATTTTCCAATGTAGGAAAATTAATAAACGACACAACCGGCAAATTCTAATTAGAAAGATTTACTGCGAAAAATATTGCCTCAGCCAGAGTCTGAACCTGGACCTCTCTGCAGTCTAGGCGGGCGTTTCACCAATTCGATCACTGAGGCATGTGGCAATATTTGTCGCAATAAACCAGTCTAACGATGATATCTTCGCGTTTATCTTTCGACTTTAAACTGCGCAGCGATTCGAGTTGTCGGCAGTACACAGAACTATCGATACGCGATTATGCACCCAGAAGAAAAGTTTCTTGGAATTTTGACCTTACTAGAGTTTTATTTAATTTCAAAGAAACGATTTCTTTGCCTTAACCAAAATTTTATTTGACTGAGGCTGAAATTTCTAAGAAAATTCGTATCTGTTTCTTCAAATCTAGCTCAAATGTTTTAGTACCAGTAAATAAAAATTTAGTAGATTCAAAGAAACACCATTTCAACGTACCTCATTTTTTGTTTAAAAACCTAAATAATCTTTTTTCTGGGTGTGTGCGTTTATTAATTTTTCTACATTAATTATTTACTGGTGACAATAAATCTGTATGCCTGTATTCTATATCTTGTCGAGTATCTCCCGTTTTCCTGCTTCCAACACGCGTGCTTCTTTTCCCTCTACCTTTCTTGTTACAATCTTATTTCATATTTTTAGTTTTTATCGTAATTTGATTTATGTGATTGTAGAGATATCTAGCGTTACTACTGTTGATCGTAATTTTTCTCTACACAACTAACGAACTATTTTTGCCGCAGTTGAATGTGTCTCTTCTCGCCCTTCCTCTTCTTTTTCCAAGCTTCTTGCAACTACTCGGAGCGATTACTATTATACGCGCCCGTTATTACCGTTACTTCTCAGACGAAGTAATGCAACAAAGCGAAAGATAGTACGCTGCGCATTTAATCTCAGTAAAGTACTCCTGTCATGATTTTTTTTCCCCCCCGAAGACACAGCGGCGAGTGTCAATGGAGCGCATCGATTACGGACACGGCTGTGAAAAAATGTTCGACCAGGCAGGATTCTGACGGAGAATCTCACCGTATTCGGAATATCGATGAATGGAGCGATGAACACGACGCAACGGAAAAAAGATTGACGAAACAGGGTGGAAACTGCCAGAATAGCGTCAAACCAATGGGCAGCCCGCCCGAAGAAACCTCGGCGGGTCATCAATCGTCTCGTTCGAGCAACGTATCCAGGACAGAGAGGAGCAAAGCCGCAAAGTCAAGCCAGAAAAGTCCCGCGAGGGAGTCGGATATGTTTGAGAGCAATAGCCTGTTCAATTCGGAAAATCTGGACTGTATACTGCAGCAGCAACCGACAAAGTCGAACGCGGACGACACATCGAGGAAACGCGTGGACTCCTCTAACGACGACATTATAAACAGAGTGCTGCAGATCGATCGATCGCGAAGTAATCCCGGCGCATGTCGACCGACAGTCTCTACTTCTGCCTCGTGGAACGACGCTACAGGTCAAAGAGAAAGGGACAGCGGGGAGGACTTGTTACAGGACAATTTTAACGAGATCATGGCCAACGTCGAGCAGCCGCAAAGCAAGAATCTACCTGGTGTCGAACAACCGGAACGCAATCCCGATCGCCCGCTGGCGAGACAGAAAACGCCCAGCTATCCCGCGATGACAGATGAATCGCGCCGCGCCACGCAGGAAGCTCCGATCATGTTCCCGTCATCGACGAACGACATGTTCGAGTGCGATTCTCCTAGAAACAGCGAGTCACCTGCGACGAATGCTATCTCAAGAGATTTTGACAAGAAGAATGTAGCCTGCAGCCAGGAAAGACACGGCTACGTGAGTGACCAGAGAGACAGAAGGGATGCAACGGCAAACGTCGACGCGTTTGACAAAGACTCACGTAAGAAAATCGTATCGAAGCACAATGTATCGCGAGAGATGGACAAGTCCCTCGAGGAGCGTGGTGGTTCGATACAATCGGCGGGTCGGCTTCACGTTGACGATGACGACACGCAAAAAGTAACGATTGGCAACGGGTCAAATTCGAAGGATGATACACTCGAGCAAGATTCGTTCATGAATATTACGCTGCATCAAGCTCGGCTGCAATTGTTTGAGGAGGATCTGCTCGGCGTCGCGGCCCAAAATCAAACAGATGCGAGAAAAACGATTTCGCAGGAAGCTTCACCCCGAGAGGAGCAACGCACTCCGAAAAGAAGAAGGCAGAATACTCGGTGCAGAGATGCGGAGCCAGAGGTAAGTGTTTGTTCTGTCTCACGATATCTTTCCTATTTTTATCTTTTTTTTTTAGTTTCTTCGCGAAAGTTTATCTTTGATATTCCGCAAAATAATGTTTCCCCATCTCGTCTCGAATTTGTACAAAAAATCCACGCCCGTAACGAATTGAGTTGATATCTGCAAGTGTAAAATTTATGTCTAATATACAATATTTGAATAGTTCTCGTGAAACCGATAGCGCGCGGAGAGAATGCAAGGGAAGCGCATCGCAAGCAGGTTTCCTCGGGGCTTATGGAAATTTCTACCTTATCGAAATAATTATAATTCGCCTAATTACCTTTCTTGCGTGCTCAAGTTTAAGATCAAAATTTGACCCGCGATATTAAATGCTTAGCAACGTAGCAACATAAGTGCGCTAAATTCTATTAGATTTCACGAACGTCGCAACGGGTTTTTACAACCTGCCCGCTTTATGAGCGAGCACTTTACGTCGGACTTGTGTAGAGTTTACAATAGTTTACATAGAAATAGAGCAGCGAATGCATTATGAAATAGCCTGTTCCGTACGTATACATCACCTTTCGCAAGCTCGCGCTGCTATAAAGTGCGCCATTTGCAATCTCATTTAATTCAGTCGGTAATTTATAACGGAATTATGATACGCGTGCGGTATATGTTGACCCTACGGCACAAAAGCTTCTCTGTGCGCCGTAACGAGTATCATATAGCACTTTTCAACGCAGGAACACTCGGCCGACGAGGACGACATGGTGGAGGGGACTCCTGAGAAAAAGATGAAGAGGTAAGTACTCGTACTCTTTACGCTCTTCTCTCTTACCCACGTGCACTCTTCGTGCCTGTACTTAGGTGTTTCTGCTGCTTAGGTAATATGCACGTGGCCATAAATACGATAGCGTACGTTGCGTGATTCACAAAGAAACGAGCTGTCCCTCTGCCTTTTCAAGCTTCGAGCACGTCGAAAAGACGGGCAAAAGTTAAAAATCATAAGATCGAAATGATTTGGTAATGCAATCGACTAACATGTGACGGTTGTTTTTTTTTAGTATAGTTTCTACTCGATATTACTTGTACACACTGAGGAGAGAGCTATTGAAATGACTAAATAGGTTTAGCTGACGGTATTTCTTTAGTTCCAATGTGTTTTTAAGCTAAACGTGTAGTCACTTATCGAAACTTTTTTTTAATTTACGTAGTAAAACAATAATTTTTCTAAGGCTCTATGTATCAAACATTAATTGAAAGTTCGACCACTTGATAAGGACCTGATACCTGGGTCGAAACGTCGTATCGAGTGTAATTTTTAATCAAATATATTGCCAGTTGGATCGACAAAAAGCTCTGTTTCCTATTAATTAAAAGAACGCAACGGGGTAATAAGAGCCAGACGCTAGATGTTAGGTGCGGATGTAACAAATTTATATTATTTATTTGAAACTTAACAACGTTAAACGTGGTCAAAACGTTTGACATTGTTAATTTTCAAATAAATAATATAAATTGTCGATGAATCGATATTTGTATCGAATAATTTTGTCTACAAAAGTGCATTAAAATCTGCCAAACAAAACACGCGCGATTGTTTAGAAAATCGCCTTAGAAAATCGAAAAGGGTGATTCTGAATATCCCTGTTAGTTCGGGACACGCGCGAGGTATATTGTAATAACGTTGCAGCAGCGCAGATGACGTTAAAACGATCAAACTAAGGGATCGACCACGAGCAAGTACGCCTAATAACTTCTTAACGTCGGTGTCGTCAACTTCCGAACGGACTCCGAGTACATTGAGATTGGGTCAGATAGCTCGTCCTCGCTTGACTGACGCGAACACACCTACGACACCGTTCAGAATGTGTCCAGCTGCGCAAAGTACGCCAATGACAGGGCACAATTCCATCGTCAGGCCGTCCAGTCGTCTCGACGTATCCGGCGGGAGCAGAAGGGTTGAGCGTGTAGAAAGCGGTAGCATCTTGTTGGCGAAGCAGGTGGACACGAGGACGCAGCAGAATGTCAGCTGGCAGCCTGTGCCTCAGGAGCGAGACCTGTGCTTCGTATGCACGGGCTTGTCGCAGGGCGAGGTCGCCATCGTCAAGAGCTTCGCGGCGAAGCACAACGCGAATTACGTGAACCAGTTCGACTCTGACGTGTCGCACGTTATCGTCAAGACCACCGGCGAGCAGAACGCGGCGAAGAGTACGTTGAAGTATCTGCAGGGTATCGTTCACCGAAAGTGGATAGTCAGCTTCAGATGGGTCCGGGACTGCATTATAGAGCAGAAGCTGCTGGACGAGGCTCCTTACGAGGCCACCACGGAGATGGAGGATGGTATTAGCGTCGCCGGACCTCGTACCGCGAGACTATGTGAGAGTGGTCTTTTTCAGGACTTCACGTTTCTGTGCGTCGAACCGTACGACAACGTTTCGCTGGATCAGTACCAGGTCAGTGTTCGGGTCGCTTAATTTTCGCGACCGGTAACGAGAAAGACGTCGCATTCCGAGTTTCCGCCCTCGGAATCGCTGGAACGTTTATCTCCTTCTTAGACACTATTAACTTTTACGCTGCCGGCATTTCTTCATTAAAATGAAAAGGTCTTCTTTTTTTCACCGAAAATTTACCTACATAAATTACACACACATATTGCGCAGAATTTCAAGATTTGTTAGAGCCACAAAAGTAACTCTTCCGGCAGTCTAGAGATCAACTTCTGTTCGAGAACGCGACAGAGCTTCTTGGACTGTAATTAAAATCGATTCGTTGTACATGTCACGTGGACCGGAAGGATTTTTATTTACGCATTCGGTCGCAGCCGCACCATTTACAGTTGGACCAGGTCCAAATCCATCATGTAACGATACCTTTGGTTTTTAGCGCTTGCTACTCGCTGCCGGAGCCTCGTTGGTCAATACCGTCGACGTTCTCGCTGAGAGAAGAGGCGTGAAGGGAATTGTGATCCAAGAGAATATTCATGATAAAAAAATTATCCGTAAGTTGTCGCAAATAAATAAATGAATGCGCGATGCATCCTTGTGCAAAAATATTTTAAAAGAGTCTGACGCTCATGTTGATATTTACATTAAATATACACACGATTTTAATTATCGGTATTTATATAAAAATTATAATAAAAATAGCTAGAAAACAATTCTATGGAAACGTATTAAAATACGTTTGTGTTTCGGTTTGTTGGATAGATCATTGGTGCCGAGTTACCAAGGCGGCGGACATTTCTGTGCAGTGGATAGTAGAATGTATCGGCCAATACAAATTACTTAAGCTAACACCATGTATGACCAGTCTCTCGCCACACGAATTGTATGCTATCGGCTACCCGCGAGATCTCGTAGAAGAAGATAAGGATTTCGTCGACGATGAATAGACAGAAAAAATGCGCGTGTTCGTTGATATTCCGTGCCATCATTTAAGTTTAAGTTTTCAGTAGAATAAACGAAATGGCTACGATAGATAGATTTACAATTATTTGGTAGTACAGTAATGGCTACGATATTTACTGTACTACCGAATAATTGTAAATTTATTTTTTGTTCTATCCAATATCTATCATCACGATACAAACTGTTATATACGACTTCATTGTTTCTACTTTTGTACACAGTATATATGAGCCAACGTTACCAAGTATATTGTAATTTATTTATGTTTTCCTAATACAGAACGTTTTCTATTCGCTGAAGTCTGCCTCTCTCCTCATTTTCCTACAATTCCCCGCACACTCGCCCGAGATCAACATCTTCGTTGCTCGTTCGCTGCTGCCGTCCGCTTTCCGAAAACTTCTCTCCGTCTGGAGATCCATCTTACGTAGCATTCCAATTTAGCCTCGAGAGTTTCCCCGAGACCGCGGTAAATGCCGGTCGCGAAATACCATCTTGGAGATATCTGACGCGCGCCTCGCCGATGGGTGGGTGCGAGAGAAGAAGACGAAATCCATGCGGACGTGATGACGCAAAGGACAGGTCTTTTCGCGATACGACAATGCCGAGATCGTAAAGTCCGCCTGTCGTGCGGGAACGCGTCGGGGGTATTCATGTATTCACCCAACACACGTACCCATATTGATTTGCCCGGGACCACCTGTAGCCAACTCTCATCCGCTCGCGCATCGCACGGCCTTTATGAATCCCGTCCAATGGTACGCAGACGAGAGGAAACGAACGCCCCGCATTCTGTATTCTCGATTTCGATATTAATATCGCGGCGATACACATGCGAAGAACGAATCGGGGGATATAAGGGTTCGCGAGAATTCGCGGCTGCAAAAGCACGCCGGTACTCTCCCCCAGACGTCGCGCGCCAATTGCCGCCGTAATCGACCCTATCCGTTCCGAATAATATCTCCGACGTGCGTCGCAAATTGATGAAAATATATTCGATGTTTACCGCCAATGGTGGATGACTGCGGCTTATGAATTATGCAGGCGGAATCTACAGTCTAACAATGGCATTCGTGCATCGCGACAGAACGCTTTGTATGAGCCGCGGTGAATTTTGATTTGAGACAAGTTACTCGGGATTTAACCGTCTCTCCTTTCGCCGTGTAGGGAGATTCGATTATGCCTCTTCCCTCACACCGTAGCCACGTAGCTCGGGGGACTGTTGAAGTTCAACCATTGTGCGCGGCTTCTACTGTACCCGTGTTTGCGAATCGCTCTCAATTGAACGGAGAGTATTGGAGGATTCCATTGTGTTTTCGCGCGACGCCACTCATCTGCGTGTGCGTGCGCGGGCGCCCATTTATGTCGTTCGCAGGTGGCAAAATAGTAGAACATTATTGTCTTCGAGGCGGCGCCTTCGTTAAATTGAAATCGTCACGCCAGACACTAACGAGAAAAGTATAAGCTTCTTTCTCGACGCTAACGAGAAAAATACAAGCTTCTTTATAGACGCAGGGACTAACGAGAGAAATGTGAGCTTCTCTATCTCGCACCAGCATAGCGGATGCAGATCTTTTTGATCGCGGAGAACCATATCAAAAGTATTACTTCCACGCGCAGACTCATTGATAATTACGCTACTTTCTACGACGTTTCTGCACGGAGAGAATTTTTTTTTCAAATTTACCTGAATATCACGTGATCGTTTTACTCGCAAAGTGGTAAAATTTCAAAAAACTCTGATAAAATGTATAGTCCCACGACTTTCGGGGTGAATTTTCGGAGAAAATTCCGCGTGTAGCGGGGAAAAATTTCTGTATGTTACAACAAACAACGAATAAATCAATCCGCGATCGTCTATACTTATATCATAGATAAGCGTCGGCCTAGCAATCAAGCGCGTGATTACACAGGGGTCATTAATAATCACGTTCGCGGGTGATAATAACGCTCATCAGATATGCTCGCTCCATCGCGCGTTGGTCTTCGCGTTGTAACGTATCTCGCGTAATAGTAACGTTCGCGCGCATGGCATCTCGTTGCCGGTCTGTTACGTAAAGCGTAGGCAATAGCCCCACGCTTATGAGTTCCCACTTAATCACTCCGAGAGGCAACAAAGTTCCGCGCTATCCCTACAACTGTCGGAGCATTCCATTCGGACGCCGCGTTAATTGCGCCGCGCGTTCATCTAAGCGTAGCTTTAATCCATCAATGCGTGCGAAACGCGCGCGTTCATGCGCCTAGACGCTTCGTTTGGACCTCGAGCGTCGGGGAAACTCTCGACCGAGAGGACACCTCTAAAATTTTTTACCTCTCGAAAATACGAATGTACTTCTCAAATTTTAATGGTGCGATCTTTATTCTCAATATCCCGAGTCGAAATTCTGACCCTATGTTGAACCTTAGGGCCTACTAATAAGGTTCTAAAATGCGTAGTTTTTGAAAAATTTAAGGGTTTCCATACTTTTTCCTCACCCTGTATAGTAGGACCTAAGACAGTAAAAGAGGTCGAACTGCAAGTACAAAATTGACTCCTACTTTAAAACTGATAGTGTCGGAAATATCTGCTTTTGCCAATTTAGCATTAAAGTAGGTCCTTTTAGGAGCTAAAGTAAATTTTTAGAATTAAAGATTCAAGGGAGGAGTAAAAAAATATAATGTCATCAAAGTAGGTTATCGCTGGTCTATGTAGGTGTATAGATCAGCTAAGTAGGTGTATCCTTAAAAGTGTCAAAATAGTACCAAAATTTCGACTCGGGATATCTACGTAAATAATACCTTTCTTACGTCGCGAGAGGAAAACGGACAATTGTGTAACCGCGTGACTTGAAACGGGTTAATGCACGTCCATATCGATGAGTGATAGTGGGCCATCAGCGTTTCATCGACCTGTACCTTATGCGTTTCGAGACAATACCACCCGCTCCTTAGTATCGCCAAATTGTCCGGTTAAATTACAATTTATGAAAAGTACGGCAATAACTTTTTATCGCTCCGATAAATTACTGTGTGGATCGCTGTTACTCGAAGCAGCTTCTCTTCAGGTCAAGAGATCACCTCCGTAAAATGGAGAGTCCTTCCCACCCGTGTAGGGAATATACAGAGTATTCGCCGATCGCATTTGACGAAGCGATGTATATATAGATTTCAACAATAGAAATGGAAACGAGAGTGTTTAAATTTTTCCATTCTTACTCAACTGGGAACTGAATTTATCAATATTTTGAGTTTTTACCCGATTCGTGCACGGTTATTAAATTGAATGCTAGCTAATTCGAGTTAACGTTTGTATTTTTTGCGGTATTACAAACTGAACTTAATTGAATTCTCTTCAAATATTTCTGTAGAATTTTAGATACGCTTTTGTGTTTTTTTTTAACTGTACGATTTCCAAGTTGCAATTGTAAGAATTTAAAACGGTTACTCTATTGATAATGTATCCAAAAATTTCATTATAAAGGTATTTTTGCGTGTTCTATTTAAAATTTATTCCTTTTTCGAGTTTACTATAGCTACTCTTTTACAAAAGCATAACAATTCCAAAATTATTAAATTTACACAGCATAAAAATTATGTTTTATATTGATTTCGCACAGTACACATCGAACTAAAAATTCTTTGGAATGTAAAATGTAATGTTTAAAATTACATATATGTTCTTTCGAAAAAGTCCCTCATTATGTTTGTATAAATATGCCCCAATAATAGACAGTTAAAATATTAATATCAGTACATAGGAAAAATCCAATAAATTGCTTGATAAAAAAGTCATGATATCGGTCATATTATAATAATGATCAATATATTGAAATAACCTCAAAAGTTGTATATTAATATTAATCGACGTATTTAAAATCCGGTAGAAAAAACTATCGTTATCCGACGGTTACTATTTCCAGCACGTACTTTACTTATTTTCAATGCCTGAAAATGCACGCTGATGTACGACGCGTGATAGTATCTGCTTTATCGCCTCACATATTTATTCTGTGCGAAACTTTCCCACGGAATGATACAATAAACCAGTGTAAAAAATGCCGCCGATAAGCGATAAATAACGAATAGCTCGGTCCACCGCCAAGACTACCATCTCGTGCGAACAATTTCACGGAACATCGCGCATGCCCTGCGGACAATAACGGACCGTCACCGGAATACGATGTGACGCGAGCCGGTACCTTTTATGAGCAATTTCGTGAAAAAAAAACTGTCACTTTTTATCTCCGGGGCATCTTTGGGGCCACACCGTTGACAGAATCGAAGAATGGAACGCCGGCCGTCCTTTCTCCGTCACGTCGTTTTCTTTAATTGGCAATAAAACGCAAACATCAAACGTCATCGTCACAATAGGCGGCGAAAACAAAAGCTCGAAAGCCTGGAGGAGATCGCGAAGAATTTGAATGAAGGCAGATTCCGTATTCGCTCGCTTTAACTTCCACGTCATGTGTCCAACGCTCATCTCGGCAGAAAATTACACATCCCGGGTAATTAACGTCTCGCGAATAACACAGAAAGAGAGCAGCGTGAGGGAATAATATTTTACTTACTATAGAGATTATTTGGTCGAGTCATGTTGTCATGGTTTCATTTAGAAAAAAAAGTGCAATCCACTTAAATTGCCGCGCACGAAAATTGTGCAACTAAGCATAAAAGCAGACATTTCCGTTTTTGTTTTAATTAACATCAGCTCTTAGACCGATATCTTCTGAATTAAAAAATTCTAAATCTTTTCATTTCCTTTAATGACTAAAAAAAGACATCTTATTTTTTCACGGTGGAAATGATAAGATAAAGTATATTCATAGATATATGAAATATCTGAATTAAATACCGAAGTTAAATATCTAATTTCAAACTAGAGATCTTTCCATGTTGATTATTTTACTTTCTGATAACTGCAAGGTATTGTAGTTGAATAAACTGTTACTTTAACTGATATTAATGAATGTACAGTAGAGTTACCTTAGAAATAACGAATCTAAAAGGAAGAAAACTCCCCACTAAGCACTTGCACCTTTTACAATAAATAGTACGACCTCTACGCTGTAAAATGAAACGATAGAACTTAAGAATATTGTATTTCGAGACCGCCATCGCCATCTCTAAAACCCAGAAATAGAACGTGAGAATTCATGAAGGTCTGAAATCTACCAGATTTTTATAGAATTATTCAGCCAATAGTCGGTAATGAAAATAAACCAAATTACGAGATCGCCTCAATAACGTACACATATAATAGACGAATTTGATTTCCAAAACGAGGTCGCGTTCTTCAACGAGCATGAAAGACAAAGACTGCAAA